AGCCGACAGTCAAACTTTTGATAGACTTGACCGACGAAACATTTAGTACTTTAATACCATCAATCATCCCACGGACACTCCATAGGCTCTTTATCAGGGATCGAGAGGTAACCATGTTACAAGAACTCTAAATCAGCCCTCTGTCAATCTTTGTTGGGGAGTGAGCTAGCTATCAAGTTACAAGGATTTACCTTCTGCTTGATAACCTAATATTGTTGAGATAATAAAAGCTCCCCATCAGAGATCGAAGGTCGACATTCAAATTAGATCAGTCAATCAGCAAGACCTAGTAAATCGAGCTAGTCCTGCCAACCAGAAGTCAATCAAAGACCGACCGACAATCTCGACTCAACATAGTTGATTTAGCAAATTCTACTGACCGATGCCTACAGAGCTCAGTCAACCGAGCCAGAACTTAGCTGAGTCATAGGTTTACACATGTAAAATACCTAAAATATCATGTAACACCCCTTTAAACTAAGGGCAAACATGTAACTTCATATATTGTACATTCTCCCATATAAATAAGAGATCATTTTATGAATAAATAAAAAAATATATTACTGTTCATTACTTTGCACTTCTCTCTTTGTCTCTCTCTTCTTTCTTGCCCTCTAACTTTTGAGGTATGATTCACGGATAAATCAAGATTCCATGTTTACATATCAATTCGCGAACTTTAATTTTTATATAAATTTCACCTTATATGTGCATATAAGAATGTATTTAACTTTTTTAAATTTAAAACAGAAAGTTTTGATGTTATATGAAAATTTTGAACGGTATAAATATAAAAAATATACTTTTTATGTTAGATATACTATATGTATGTAAATGCCCCTTTTTTTTGTAAATATGTACCAAGAAAAAAAGATTTATTTATGTATGTAAATGCCCCTTTTTTATTATATATATATCCGCACGAATGAATTTATCTGCACGTAATAATTTTGCTTAATTTCTATTACCTTTAACATGCATTGAATCACATCAACACCAAACTATCAACAATCTAAAAAACGAAGATCTTAAACGGAATCATATTCATTTCCTTCAACTTTTTCAAAGGTTTAAAAAACAAACGGAAAATTTACATGCATATCACTCTATTCTTATGATTTTACATATTTAAAATTTATAAATACAAATTTATAAAGCCATTTTATATCGTCAACAATTAATTAATAAAACACCCGCCAAAAGTCCCACCAAATTCCTTAATCACCTCTCAAGCTCTATGGACCTCATCACCCTTTCCATGTGTGCAAAGCTATCCGACTCCTGAAGCTTACTGTCAGTCATTTTCCCCAGCTCCAAGTTCTCGAGCTCCTCCTCTTCAATGGCGTCATACTCCGAAACCTTCTCAAACTTCTTGCTCAATAAGAGGTAACAGAGCAATGAGAAAGCGACGACGGTGGCGAAAAGCCAGCTGAATTCGATGTTGACAAGAGACTTCGCGCGGCGGAGTTCGTCGTCGCTCCGGCAGCGAACGACGTAGTGGCCATCTTCGGCGTTCATGAAGCAGCCCTTGGGGATTAGCTTCGGCGTCCACAGAGCGTAGCCCATGAGGATGAACCAGAGCCCCTGTTTTAAAAGCAGTTGATTGAGGCAACATCAACATATAGAATTAATATAAAAATGTAATTTTTTCTCTTATTTTGATACGATGCTGAAACAAAATCCTTTGCTTTGGACGGGAATTAAGGAAATTTGACTGAACATCAATTTTAAAATTAAAAATTTCGTCAGGTTCGGTCATAGCTGCATTTCGTGAAGTCTTACTTATCACAATCCTACCTGCAAAGTGATGCTGTTGGAACGGACGAACGCAACCGGAAAGCTGCAGGGGTGGCTAATGCCCATCAAAGTGGTGGCGAAGGAGACGCCGACAACAAGCTGAAGAAGCCAATGGTACTGTCCCTCCACCCCCTCATGATCAGCGGAATGGAGACGAAAAAGCAAAAATTGCTGCCCGAAGGCAGCCGCAGCGGCCAGAACCGTGAGCGCCTGCCTGGCTGCGGGGCGGCCAGCCCGGTGATCTAAAGCAGTGGCAAACACGGCGTAGATGAGGAAAGAAAGCGAGATGGACGCGTGCTCGAAGTTGTGCAGGTGGTAGGAAGGGATGGTGAAGTCAGGGTCGAAGGGTTGGTGGCGTGCGGGACCTATGAAGAGTTCCATGGCGATGGAAACAGAGCTACCGATGGCGATGAGAAGGAGTTCCAGGCGGCGTAATTTTGGGGCTGGGAACCAAGGAAGGGAACGGTAGGTGTTCGGGTGGAGGGAGAAGAGTTTGATGTTGTTGTATAGGTGCCATATGCCGATTAGGAGGAAGCCGAGACCGGGAGCTACGTGGCCTACTAGAGTTCCCATGGCACGCATGCACGCACGCGAGCTTGGAGATCGAAGATGAGAGCGAGAGGTGGGGGAAGGGAGGATCTTAAGGAGGGGAGGAAGGTAAAGTTTGGACTTTGGATCGTTGGTCGTTGTAACTATTTTAAGATGGTTTTGTTTAGTTGGCTGCTGGGGTTGGAAATGATGTATGAGATGAGTTTACTGCTAAAGTTTATTGTTTTTGGTCGTTTTCGTGGGGGTTTTGATATCCGAGATTATGGAGGTTTAGGGTTTCTTACAGGATACAAATTAATGCGGGAGTTGTAATTAACTGTTGGCGTATATGCCTCCGCAGTTGCGGAGTCGTATTGAAGTGATATTAAAGTCTAAGTTTGGGAGAATTAGATATACAAGCTGTTAATGGATTGCGTTAGATAGTACAAGGATGGCAAATCAGTCATGTAAGAGACTCGAATGGGTAGATATTAATAATTATATGTTGCGCTTATATTAAAGATTGTAAGTAGTACTGTTTGGCACCATATTACCTTTGGTTAATGCACCATCTTGCTAATCTTTGGCACCACATAAATTTCTGAAACAGTAATGTTTGTAGCTACAGTCATTTCTCCTAAAATAAATAGCAAAACCATAACAAATGAATTTAACTAAAATAGGGAAAAAAATTATTCTATCCCAATGTATACTTTTCCAAAAAAATTATCATCTTCGGATTCCATTTGCATGGCATTGTTAGAATCCGGCCCCGCTTCAACAATAAGGCCTCCAAAATTTTTAGAATGGCACAACTCGGTGGTAATCAATCTTTTTTTTTTTTCATAATGGAACATGATATTCTTAGGTGAGTGTTGGACAATTTTTTTTATTATTTTTTTAATATATGAGAATCTTGTAGCTCAATTGTTTGAAAGACAAAATATTATGTGTGGTAGACTGTACGGGTGGACAATGGTCCACATGAAGTCATGCCATCGTTTATAACACGGTGGCCTTTCCGAACCATCGTCCGAACATGCAATTACAACATATAATATTTGATATGCTTCAAGAATATCAGTAAGCCTAGACTCTAGCCTAATTCACGGTGATGATGATGGATTCTTCCAAGACTAATTCGGACTTGACCAATCATACCACCTAAGGCAAGTTAATTATCCCTCTACTGTCCTTCATTAATGCGATGACAGATTGGTGTCGTTCCCTCAAGTGAATATCTTATTGATCTCAGAAGATGGCTAACGCAGAACCTTTTTACGATGTTGGAAGACTCACCAACAATAATTGAAAGAAAATTGACTTTGCAACCAAAGAAGAGCTCCCCCTATTTTTTTCATTACTCCTTTAAATAGCAAATTGTATTAATGCATTCTCATCTCAACTGAGAAAATAATAACTAGGAATGAAATCAATAGATATTATTTTCCCATTAAATTGGAAAAGCAATAATTAGAAAATTAAATTCAGAAAGCAATAAATCTTTTTTTCCCGTCAAACTGGGAAAACAATAACTTGGAATTCAAATTACGAAAGCAATAAACTTAACATAATAAAATACATAATCTAATAATTAACTTCCAAAAATGCGAACTTTCTAAAACTCCTTTGTGATTGCACGAATTATGGAATTAAATTATCACCCTTCCGGATTTGTTTTTTCGTTAATATCACCCTCCATATTTCCTTTTGGATTTGCATAAATTGCCGGCTCTCCCAAAGAACTTGACTCCAGCAAGCTTGTTGAAGGTACGTAGCGAAAATATGTGAGTTTAAATGTTGGAGTTATGATGCTTGCAACCAGACTGAGTCTGAATTTGGACGATTCTTCTGGTGAACTAGGATCTTGTAATATCCTCCACGTCGAGTAATAACAAACCGGTGATTGAGTATGGATGCAAGTTCTTCCCTTTGGCCTGTATTTTTAGGGACACGACTAATTGTGTCTTGTTGGGTCAGTAAATCTGTGGTTGCTGGCACTAGCTATACCTCTCGCATTAGAGGTAGTTGTCTTGACATATCTTCGTCTTTAATGTTTTGGAACTTCTTTATTATCTTCGTAAATTTGTTGGGGAGATTACCATCATCATGTTTAGCCTCTCGGTTCATTACTAACAATACTAGTTGTTTTTCTTTTAGAGCTTGAGTGAAATGCTTAATGGTTGGCACTAGAACGACCTCCACTTTTTTTTTGCTTCGGTTGTGCCTCAAATTTAGAGATCTGCAAAGGATCTAAAACGAATTTCTTGTCATTAAAATTAAAGGAGTAAGAATTGACATACTCGTCATACACCACATTTCTGTCATAGGTCAGGGTCGACCAAATAGCAAATGACAAACAATCATGGGAACCACATCACACCAGGCCTCATCCGAATAACTTTTTCCCATTGTGAACCTCACTAAGCAATGATACACAACTAAATTGGGGTTAACTTCATTAACCCAAATTACTTGATAAGGGATGGGGTGTTTTTCAGTCTTCAAACCCAAGCGTTCCACTGCATCACAAAAAATCATGTTCATTACACTTCTGTTGCTAATTATTATATTTAGCGCTCGACCACCATGCTCAATTCGGGCATGGAAAATGTTGGTGTGCCTCCAATCAAGATCAGCACCTTGGATCATTTTCTTAGTACCCGTAAAAACTCGGTGAATCACACAACTAGGCAAATAAGTTGCTCCCATGTTTTCTACATCCTCGTCGTCACTTGCTTCATATTTTGTATCTTCTCTTCCATCCACGGTGTCCATTAATTGAAGTCCTTTTTCACACACAAAGGCCAATGTTTTCTCTCGTGGGACATACTACAACAAAACGTCCAAACCCCTTGCACTTATAGAATTGTGGCCCGTCACCCAGAAGTTTGGGCTTTCCACTTTGGTCACCCACCATGGCGTGTCTATCTTGGTCAGTGGGTAGAGATGGTTTCTGGTAGCTGTGTTGATGCTCGTTTCTGTGTGGGATCCATAAATGACATGCGTCTTCCATTGGAGAATCTCAATTGTTTTTCAACGTGTAAAGCCAATTGGTAAGCTTCATCAACATTTAGGATCCATGTTGTTAGCATCTCTTTTCGCAACTCATTATGTAACCCCGTGCGATATCAAGGTATAGTTTGTTGTTCATTTTCCACCACCTTGTTGCGGATAGTCAATTCATGGAAATGGCTTGTGTATTGGTTGACAGTCAATATTCCTTGCCTTAGTTGCAGCATCTCTTCAAACATCATTTGCTTGTAGTCAATTGGTAAATATTTCTCCTTCAGTCGCTCCCTCATTTCTTCCCAATTGGATATCGGCGCTCGTTGAGTACAGCGTAGTTCATCTACGCTATTCCACCAAGCTCGTTCATGTCCTTTTAATTTCATACGGACATAACATACCTTTCTATCTTCGGAAACAGAGAACCAATTAAATCAATTCTCAATAGTCGTTAACCAATCTTCAAAAGCATTGGGGTCCAATTTTCAATGAAAGTCTGGAATACCGACTTTCATGCTCTTGGTTAGTTCATCATGAGGGTGACGGTCGAAGCCAATCCCTCCTCGTCCCATGGGAATTTCACGACCATTTCATCTCGAGTGAGCTTCACACTCACCAAATCCCTTGGAATCTTCATCTTCTTCATTATCGTCTACTTTGGCTTCTAGAGGAGTCTCGCACATCCTTCTATTATGAGGCACAAATTCATCTCGGGTTTGACACTCTTCCATGGTATCCAATTTGTGAATGATATGTTCTAAAACCGTTGCCAGTTGGGTGATTTGTATTTGTAGCTGGACTAGATCCGTGTGTTGCTTTTGGTTATTTGACATATTGTAAGAGTTACCACTACAGGTTACCGACATGAAATATTTGACTTGACATGAAATATTTGACTTGACATGAAATATTTGACTTCCTTGAAGCAGGAAAACTTGTCTCTGATACCAAATTGGTTTCGTTCCCTCAAGTCAATATCTCATTAATCTCAAGAGATTGTTAACGAAGAACCCCTCTATGATGTTGGAAGACTCACCAACGATAATTGAAAGAAAATTGACTTGGCAACCAACGAAGTACTCCCTCATTTTTTCTCATTACTCCATTAAATAACAAATTACATTAATATATTCCCATCTCAACTGGGAAAGTATTAACTAGAAAAGAAAGCAATAGATATTATTTTTCCATCAAATTGGAAAAGCAATAACTAGGAAATTAAATTAAGAAAGCAATAAATATTATTTTCCCATCAAACTGGAAAAACAATAACTAGGAAAAACAATAACTAGGAATTTAGGAATTCAAATTTCAAAAGCAATAAACTTAACATAACAAAAATACATAATCTAATAATTCACTTCCGAAAACACAAACTTTCTAAAACTCTATTGTGATTGCACGTATTATGGAATTAAATTATCACTCTTTCGGATTTGCCTTTCCGTTAATATCAGGCTCCATTTTTCCTTCCGGATTTTCATCACAAATAGCCTTCTCTTCATCATCTTGAAGAACATAATTATATCGTCGTTCTCCCTTTATGCTCTTGAACTGACATTCCATAACTCTGGTTTCGAGTTTTCTAAGGTTGTTCAATATTTTCTTTTCTACCTTAAACATGAGATTCCAATGAGTCACCTCTTCATTTAAATACATTGTTTTAGATAAGAAACAAATTGGGTGTACAATAAGGCACTTTTAAACTTTTTTTTTCAAAAATTATCAATTTTAAATTCTTATTGTTGGAAACGGTGGAGCCCGGTCCACTCTTGCCTGGGCGGTTAAAAGCTTGTAAATTTTGCTTTATCGCCTCTTTGCTTTCTCCCACCTGCTGTTTCGATAATAACGGGTCCCACCATCTTTTTTAAAAAGCATGTTGAAAAGTTGCGGCTTATGAAGGAATAAAAAAAAAGGAAAACCTATACATGTTCCTGCCTCCCTCAGTTTCACAAACCAATGCCTGCTCCTTGTTCCTGCGAAGCGAAGCCCGCCTCCTCTCGTGTGATAAAAAGTATCGCACGGCTTTCATTTGGTTTCGAAGTCACATTTTGAGTTCTTATTTGATTTCCTCGGGATAGAGGAGAGTTTCCTCGGGATAGAGGAATGAAAGTGCAAGAAGTAGTTCCTTGCAGTAGAAGGAACAAGAAAGAGGAAGAAGAAGAT